TCAAATTGCCTGGACAAGGCATCAGCCTTGGTATTTTTAGAACCAGGTCTATAAGTAATCAGAAAGTTAAAACGTGAAAGGAACAGTGACCATCTAGCCTGTCTGGAAGACAAACGTTTGGCATCCCCTATATATGCCAGATTTTTGTGGTCGGTTATGATCAACAGGGGGTCCTTGGAACCCTCCAAAAGATGTCGCCACTCCTTGAGGGCAAGAATAATGGCCAACAGTTCTCTATTGCCAATATCGTAGTTGCGCTCAGTAGGAGACATCTTTCTGGAGAAGTAGCCACAAGGATGCAATGGTGTTCCCTGGCTTTCTCTCTGAGAGAGAACAGCCCCTACCCCTGTCTCGGATGCATCAACCTCCAATATAAAAGGTTTACTGGTGTCGGGATGTTTTAGTATGTCCGCAGAGGCAAATCTTTGTTTAAGAATCTCAAAAGCATTCACAGCCTCTTTGGACCATACCGTGCTACGAACCCCTTTGCGAGTCATATTTGTGATTGGGGCTATTACAGAAGAAAATCCCTTGATGAATCTTCTGTAATAGTTGGCAAAACCAATAAACCTTTGAATGGCTTCTAAACCAGAGGGTAATGGCCAGTGTAGTACAGCCTCTAGTTTTTTAGGATCCATTTGAAATCCCGATGCAGAGATGTTGTAACCCAAAAAGTGGACTTCAGGTTGGTCAAATATGCACTTTTCTAATTTACAATAAAGTTTATTTTTCAACAACGTCTGCAGAACCTGTTTCACATGGGAGTGGTGAGTTTGAAGATCAGGGGAATACACCAAAATATCATCCAAATAAACCAAGACAAATGAATAAATGAATTCCCTGAGTACATCATTTATAAAGTCTTGGAATACGGCCGGGGCGTTGCATAACCCAAATGGCATTACCAGATATTCATAGTGTCCACTACGGGTATTAAATGCCGCCTTCCACTCATGATTCTCTTTAATTCTAACCAAATTGTAAGCGCTCCTAAGGTCAAGCTTAGTAAATACTTTAGCTCCCTGAAGTCTATCGAACAATTCGGAAATGAGTGGGATAGGGTATGCATTTTTTACAGTGATTTTATTAAGTGCCCTGTAGTCTATGCAGGGGCGTAACTGTCACGTATTCATCCGCTTATAGAAATGTGGTTAATGACATTTACTGTCCACACAGGAAAAGTTGTGCCGAGCAGCAACCTAATCCACAGAAGGTTTAATGCTGAGCAGTAATTGTGCAAATGAAACCTGGTCTCATGTATTCATCCGCTTATAGAAAAGTGGTTAATGACATTTACTGTCCACACAGGAAAAGTTGTGCTGAGCAGCAACCTAATCCACAGAAGGGTTAATGCTGAGCAGCAATTATGCAAATGAAACCTGGTAACTGACTTTGGGGTCAAAGGCCGGTTACAGCCTATCAGAAAGAAAGGAGGGGTATTTAGGCCCAGTTCTCAGCCTGCTCAGTGCCCTGTTGTGGTTTCCCTTGTGGTTGTCCGAGAGCGCGTTCCCTGTTTATAGTTTTCTACCTGGTTTTTGACTTTGGCTTTGTTTATTGACTTCTCTATATTCTGGTATCCTGACTCCTGGCTTTCCTCATCGCTGTGTCCCTTTCTGTGTTCCCTGACCTCAGCTAGTATTTTTGACTATTCTTTGTACGTTAAATCCGGCCATTCTAAGGACCGGTAATACGTTACTTATTTGTCATCCGTGCTGTACAGTTCTACGTGCTGGATCAAACAGTAATCCTGACAGTAACTCACCACCCTTTTTCTCAACAAAAAAGAATCCTGCATCAGCTGGTGGGGATGACTTTCTTATGTGTCCTTTGCTCAAGGATTCTTTGATGTATTCCTCCATTATTTTACTCTCCTGGGGAGATAAGGCATAAACTGCCCCCTTAGGTGGCATAGCGCCTGGAAACAGGTTAATGGCACAGTCATATGCTCTGTGGGGAGGCAATACATCGGACTGAGCCTTGTTAAACACCTCCTGAAGTTCTCGGTATTGTATGGGAACTCCAGGAGTTTGGGGAGTGGTAGTGGGAAGGTCAATAGTATCTAATTTCTTTAGTACTGGTTTTATACATCTCCCCATACACTCTTTACCCCATTCTAATATCTCCCCATTAGCCCAGTCAATATAGGGATTGTGCTTACTCAGCCACGGAAACCCTAATATGATAGGACATGATGGAGAAGTAATAACCTGAAACGTCATCTCCTCCCTATGGGAGGCCCCAATGGAGATCGTAATAGGGACAGTTTCATGGGTTATAAGCGGTTGTGTGAGTGGTCTACCATCAATAGCCTCTACAGCTAGCGGCGTAGGTCTCTCCCTGACCGGTATCTCATTACCCCTAATAAACTGGACATCAATAAAATTTCCAGCAGCACCTGAGTCCATTAGGGCACTGCAAGAAAACTTCTTGTTATCAAGGGAAATAGATACCTCAAGGAGGAATCTACTTTTGTTTTTGTTAGAGGACAACTCCATCACACCTAAGATCTGTCCCCTTAAGGTTCTTAGGTGCGGAAGTTTTCCGGACGCACTGGACAATTAGTTATCATATGTCCCTTTCTACCGCAATATAGGCATAACCCCTCCCTTCTCCTATACTGTTTTTCGGCCTCTGACAGTCTAGTGACCCCCAACTGCATAGGTTCGGGTTCGGACTGTACAGGGAGGTTAGACAAAACAGGTTTAGAGAATTGAGGTGCTAGGGACATAGCCGTACGTCTGGTCTTGCTTCTGGTGACTTCTCTGAGTCTTAACCTATTATCAATATGCATAACAAACGTAATAAATTCGTTAAGACTCTTAGGTAATTCTTTAGCGGCTATCTCATCTAGTATAGTCTCTGAGAGACCCTTTTTGAATGCTGAGATTAACCCATTGTTAGTCCAGTCTACCTCGGAAGCTAAGGTACGGAATTCAATAGCATAATCCGAGATAGACCGGTTACCTTGTCTGATGTGCATTAGGGCAGTGGAGGCGTCATCCTCTCTACCCAATGGCTCAAACGTGAGCTTGAATTCGGCAAGGAATTCCTGGTAATTATGAGCTATGCTCCGATTACTCTCCCACAACGGATTAGCCCAGGCAAGGGCCTTGCCCTTTAATTGATTCATTAGATAACCAATTCTTGCTCTGTCCGTGGGGAATGACCCTGGTGAGGCCTCAAAATGGTACTCCACCTGATTAAGAAAACCCCTGCTTTCCTGGATATTGCCATCAAACTGTAGGGATGGTGATAAGGAGATGCTAGGAGTCCTATTAACAGTGGGTGGAGGTACACAGGGTAGAGGTGCTATAGAAGGAGACGCTGCAGGCTGCAGATGCTCCGTTCTAGCGAGAAGCGTACTGAAAGCCTGAGCGAATTGATCCATGCGGTGATCATTCTCCTCTAATTTCCTCTCGCAAGCAGCTATGTGCTGACACAGTTCTACAGGATCTATGGCCATGTCGTAATATCAGGATTACTGTTTGATCCAGCAGGTAGAACTGTACTGCACGGATGACAAATAAGTAACGTATTACCGGTCCTTAGAATGGCCGGATTTAACGTACAAAGAATAGTCAAAAATACTAGCCGAGGTCAGGGAACACAGAAAGGGACACAGCGATGAGGAAAGCCAGGAGTCAGGATACCAGAATATAGAGAAGTCAATAAACAAAGCCAAAGTCAAAAACCAGGTAGAAAACTATAAACAGGAACGCGCTCTCAGACAACCACAAGGGAAACCACGACAGGGCACTGAGCAGGCTGAGAACTGGGCCTAAATACCCCTCCTTTAGTTCTGATAGGCTGTAACCGGCCTTTGACCCCAAAGTCAGTTACCAGGTTTCATTTGCATAATTGCTGCTCAGCATTAACCCTTTTGTGGATTAGGTTGCTGCTCGGCACAACTTTTCCTGTGTGGACAGTAAATGTCATTAACCACTTTTCTATAAGTGGATGAATACATGACACCAGGTTTCATTTGCACAATTACTGCTCAGCATTAACCCTTCTGTGGATTAGGTTGCTGCTCGGCACAACTTTTCCTGTGTGGACAGTAAATGTCATTAACCACATTTCTATAAGCGGCTGAATACGTGACACACCGTTCCTGTGGAACTCGCTTCCCTCCTCTGTTAGATGCTCACCCAGTCTCCACTCCTTCAAAAAATCGTTAAAAACCCACTTCTGGGGGCGTGGCTAAGCGCTCGAGCTGCACGGTCGCATGCCGGAGTAGCTCCCGCCGCTCAGGACACAAGGGGCACCCAAATAACCGGGCTACCGAGCGCCAGCACTAGCGAGACGGCAGACTGATACCTACCATGTCCCAGAGACAAAAGCCGAAACCAGCGAGGACGGATAAAGCGTCCTTCTTTCAAGCGAAAGCCACTTCACAAAAAGCGCGGGAAGACGCCGATCAAGATGGCGGCCCGCCACGATCCCGGGAGGGCTCTCCTGCATCCCCAGCTTCCCCAGCACCAACTGCTGAGGACCAACCACTCACAGTGGCAACTATGAGAGGTATGATGACAGAGCTCACAAACACAGTGCAAAGAAGCCTTAAGGCTCAAATGTTGACACTGACAAACGAACTTAGGAAAGACTTGCAGGACATAGGGACACGCACTGCACATCTAGAATCCAAGATGGACGAATTTTCCATGGCACATAACAGTGTGGCTGATAAAATGCAGGAAATGGAAGATGTCATTACAGCTCAAAAGATCAAGCTGGCGGACCTGGAAGATAGGTCTAGGAGGAACAACCTCCGATTTAGGGGGATACCTGAATCAGTTACAAATGCGGACCTAGATAAATACTTGCAAGACATGTTCCAACAGATGACCCCAGAACTACACCCGGACCAACTTCTGCTGGACAGAGCACATCACCTCAGAAGACCTAGTCACCTACCCAATACAGCAGCGAGAGACGTCATAGCAAGAGTACATTTCTTCCATGCCAGAGAAAGAATTATCAAAGCCAGCAGGAATAGAGGGATGCCGGAAAAATTCTCCAACATCAAAATCTTTTCCGACCTCTCGGCAGAGACATTACAATACCGCAAATCTCTGGCACAAATCACGCTATCACTGCGCAACCAAGGAGTAAACTACAGGTGGGGATATCCGGCCAAGCTGCTGGTCTACCATGGAGACTCCCTCCACGCCATCACATCAGCGACGCAAGGCATCAAGATGCTCAGAGACTGGGGAATCCCGCTGGCAGAGTTACAAAAAACAGGCCCAACGAAAATCCCCACCTGGCCCAGGATTGGGCATCCCGCTAAAGAGACTGCATGACCGTATGGTATACGTAAGACTCATAACCAATTGTCAGTTATCTTATTGTATTTAATACTCTGTTAATCCGTTTTTTCTTATTTTACTGTTACACCTGGGAAATACGTGGGTATGTACCGGGGCCCCCCTGACCACCTCCCAGGCCGACTAGCCAGGTCCACAACGAGATTTATTCTCGGTTAGACCACGACACTGCCCAAACACCAAAGGTTGGGGAGCCGGGACACTGGAGGCCCACAGGCAGGGAAGTGACGGAAAGGGAGAGAATATCTATATAAAAAAATAAAATAAAAAAAAAACAGGCTAACCACATCAGCACACATGGTGCCCCAACGTGTGCTTGTCACAGGGACACACTCCGCACTGGAAGTCCCAACTCCACCACCCCCCCAGACTGCGTGCGACCCTTGAGCGCCGCAAACAGGCTCGATCCAGAGGAGCCTCATAGGGTTAAGCCCTTTGTTTACCCCTCCCTCCCCCATACATACTGAAACGACACAAAGACAACAGCTAAAGGCTGACCTCACCCCGTCCCCTTCTTGCCTCCATATCATTTTTGCAACAGACATCTACACCGAACTGCCACACAAAGGCTTTCACCGAAACATTGGGTGTAAAACCTAGAACGTAGTTCTTCTAACAAAAGTACCAGCTCTTGGGTCACCAACCACAACCACATCATTATGAGAATAGTGTCCTATAATGTTAAAGGATTAAACTCACCGGGAAAACGCAGGTTGCTGTTCCAAGACCTTAAGAAAAACTCGGTAGATATCGCATGCCTCCAAGAAACACACTTTAGACACCCCACAGCCCCAACCCTTTTCACAAAACTATACCCCGTACAGTATCATGCCTTATCAGAGACGAAGACAAAAGGGGTGGCCATCCTAGTGCATAAAGACATCGCCTTCACGCCACAAAGCAGCTACATAGATCCTAAAGGGAGATACATCATAGTGGTAGGGCTCTTCAATAATACACAATACACCATTGGCGCAGCATACTTCCCGAATGACAATCAAGCCTCTTTTCTCAAAGCACTTCTGTCCAAACTAGATACATATAAACAAGGAGGGCTCATCCTGGGAGGAGACTTTAACTTCATTCAGTCCCCGACCTTAGATACTACTGCTTCGCCACAGGGGAAGCGCAAAAAGGGGACCCAAGCCCTCTGCAAGAATCTCACCAACACCTTGACACTGTACAACTTATATGATAGCTGGCGAACACTACACCCTACAGACCGGGACTATACTTTCTACTCAAGGGTCCACAACACGTACACACGTATAGACACCTTCTTTATAGATAACAAGACCATGCCGCAATTGACAGACTGCAGGATAGGGGAGATAACGTGGTCAGATCACAGCCCAATCTATCTGGACGTGGAAGATACCTATCAGACCAGAGGCAGGAACACATGGAGGCTAAACGAGTCCCTCCTATTAGATAAATCGTTTGTAGAACGTATGAAGATAGAACTTAGGGAATACTTCCTTGCGAATGCAACAGGCGAGGTCACGGACTACACAGTGTGGTCCGCACACAAAGCGGTGATGAGGGGCCAGTTCATCAGACAATCAGCGTACATAAAGAGACATCATCAGACCACCCTACTAGAATGCCACAAACAGATAGCGATACACACAGCCCAAAACAAGAAAACACCCACGGCAGCCCTAGCAGACAAATTAAGAGGTCTGTATCAGGACCTAAATGAGCTCAATGCCCACAAGACCCAATATCTCCTACATAGACTAAGAGCCACCACGTACCACCACAGCGGCAAGGCAACCAAATACTTGGCCAACAGACTGAGAACTAGGCAGGCCGCCAATAGAATCCCACATCTTATAGGACATGCAGGAGACAAACTTATGAATCCCATGGACATAGTGCAGGAGTTTGCACACTTTTACAAACAGCTATATAACCTAAACACAAGTGGGGGCGTAACAGCACCAGACACACAATCTATTCGCAGTTACCTACAGGGTGTGGAACTCCCCAAAATAGACCAAGAATCAGTGAGCGCCCTACTCGAACCGATCTCCATACAGGAGATCCGGACAGTAATTAAGAGTCTGCCCTCGGGCAAATCCCCGGGCGCAGATGGTTTCTCAAACAGCTATTACAAGACATTCATAGATATACTAACCCCACACTTGCTCAAGGTATACCATACAGCGACGGAAATAGGATCCCTTCCCCCTGAAATGCTAGTGGCCACGATAGTGACGCTCCCGAAACCAGACAAGCCTACGGATAGCTGCAAAAATTTTAGACCTATATCCCTCCTTAATACAGACGCGAAGATATATGCTAAGATTTTGGCCAACAGACTGGCACCCATCCTCCCAACTATCATAGGAGACGACCAAACAGGATTCATTAAGAGTAGGCAGGGTAGGGACAATACCAGAAAACTCTCCTTGGTGCTGGAAAAACTGAGGGGATCGGGACAGGGTGGGCTTTTATTAGCCCTCGACGCCGAGAAGGCGTTTGACAGATTGAATTGGTCATTTCTTGAACACACACTTCAAAAATACGGCATCCCCTCCGAATTTATCAAACAAATATTTGCTCTGTATGCAAGCCCCACGGCCCGAGTGCTACAAGCAGGCTTCCTCTCAGACCCGTTCCCCCTGACAAACGGCACGAGGCAGGGATGCCCTCTATCACCGCTGTTGTACGTCCTGGCCCTAGAACCACTACTAGTCCAAATTAGAAATCATGAGGGCATCAAAGGAATAGAGCTTCACAGCAGGGAAATTAAAATTAGCGCATTTGCAGATGACATACTCCTTTGTGTCACTGAGCCCAAACAGTCGACTGCACTCATCTTAGATCTCATCAGGGAATATGGCAAGAGGTCTTACTACTCTCTCAATGCCAGTAAGACGCAAGCGTTGGGGGTTCGGCTCAACCACCGAACCCTGACTGCCCTCAAAGAGAAACATCATTTTGAGTGGAGGATGGATACAATAAAGTATCTAGGACTGACCTTTACGAAAAACCCTACAGAGACCTTCTCGGCCAACTACGTTAGGGTGGGGGGTGAATGCCGTCAATTGATGAAAAAATGGGGCACACTGTTTCTAACCTGGACGGAGAGAGTAGCAACCATCAAAATGTCCATACTTCCTAGGCTTCAATACCCGTTTCGCAACCTACCGATTCAGGTACCCACATCCTATCTCCGAGAAACACAAAGAGATATAAATAGATTTGTGTGGGGGGGTCAAAAAGCCAGAGTAAAAGGAACACTACTACGAGCACCAGCGAGACAAGGTGGCCTAGCCTTACCGGACATTAAGTCATATTATCAAGCAGCAATGCTAGCAACACTTCTTCCCCATTTCATGACCACAACCATACCGCAGTGGGTGCACTTAGAACAACTAGCGGTCAGGCCCTTTGATATACCCACCCTATTGTGGCTTCCAAACCGGTTTAGACCAGCAGTGGCACAGATGCCAGCACAGATAAAAATAGCACTGAACACCTGGGACAAAATCCGACACAAACTAACATCTCACACCCTATCACCGGCCACCCCACTCCACACTATAACATATTGTATCCCAACCTTCAACGCAAAGCCCTGGATATCAAACGGGGTCACTCACTTGTACCAAATGCTCTCACAGAACACACTAAAAACCTTCCCAGACTTACAGAAAGAGTATCATGTGCCGGCGGCCTCTCAATTTTCCCATATGCAACTAAGCTCGTTTTTGCGTAAACACACAGACAAACCCCCACCTTCAGAAGGCAGTCTACCTGTTATGACAAAATGGGAACAGATGACCACCACTGGTTCACAGACACCAACGTTTAAACCACTGTCCTGGTGCTATCAGATTCTCAGACCCACACAACACTTTGCTGACTCCAACCCAGCCAAACATTGGATACGAGACTTACAATGCCACATAAGTAAAGACCAATGGGAACGCACCATAGTAGCAACTAAGAAACTAATCAAATCAGAAACCCTCCTGGAACAATATAGGAAAACTCTATACAGGTGGTACATGGTACCAACTCGCTTACAGAAGCTATACCCAAGCTCATCTCCGACATGCTGGAGATGTGGCAAGAGTGAGGGAACAGTGCTCCATATCTGGTGGCAATGCGATCGGGTGACCGGCTTCTGGCAAGACGTTAGCCGCCTGATCCGAAACACCACAAAAGTCGAGCTCCCCTGCACACCCCTAGCGTACCTATTACTGCACATGCCAGACAACACACCTAATGAGGTACAAAAGCTAACATTCCACATACTCTTGACAGCCCAGAGGGCGATAGCTAGACGGTGGAAAAAATGTAGTCCCCCACGAGTGACAGAGGTTTGTACGGACGTAGACAAACAGCAACTATACGAATCCCGATATAGAGGGGTTCTCCCCCTGACAGTAACGGCCATGAAAGCGTGGAAACTGTGGGACGAAGGAAATACGGGAGAGCCCGACAACCAAGCTAATAGGCCCAACACTAGTGGGTAAGGAAACATATATGGGACAGAAACAGCAGAACAGACAAATAGAGAGCTGTAGCGAGATAATAACTGAGTGCTGTTATAGGATACGATGTAACCAATGTTTACTCGCAAAGGTGGTTGTACACCTAAATGTAAAATGTCTGATATGGAACCCACCCCCCACCCCCCCACCCCCGCTTCTATTCTGTATCCCCCCCCCACCCCTACACCAGTTTCATGTGATATGTATGTTTATGACATTGAATGTCAAAATCAATAAAAGACTTCAAATGGAAAAAAAAAAAAACCCACTTCTTCATAAAAGCGTATTAATTAAACTGTTAATAGCTCCTGACTGATTCCTCTTCTGAAACTGTCACTAGTCTAATACTATCCTTATCTTTTGTGTCATTCTACCCCACTCCCTCTAGCATGTAAGCTCATTGAGCAGGGCCCTCAACCCCTCTGTTCCTGTGTGTCCAATTTGTCTGGTTACAACTACATGTCTGTTCGTCCACCCATTGTAAAGCGCTGCGGAATTTGACGGTGCTCTATAAATATCATAATAATAATAATAATAATAATAATAATGAAACAAAAATCGTATACTTTAACTCTCGAACATCGCTGAACTTTGACGAACATCTGCTTCGTTTCTACTCATGTCAGGAGTTCACTGTTCGGTAGGATTGTTCACATGAACTAGGCAAACAATCACTACCTAGGAGCCAGAGTATTAGTTTAATATTTCATTTAGTGTTGGACTCCCAAAACTGACCGAGTGCTACAACTTTTCTTATGGAACTATTTTGGGCAGAAGCGGTCAGTTAAAAGTCTACCTCGATGGAAAATTCAAACCACCAAACCGATCTGAGTGCTTTTTGGATATGTTAGGCACACAAATCAGGGCTATCCAGGGATGTGACTCTTGAGGGGGTTCCATGCATTTTGGGGGGTTCATAATTTAATTATCTCTCAGTACAGGGGAGGAGTTTACTGTGTGTATAAATTGTAAGTGCTTGCCAGCATTAAACAAATATACTCCAAGCATCAAGTATCGGCTAATGCGTGGGGGGAATGCTATAATGACTATAATTACTATACAGCTATAGTCTCTGCAGGAGAGCTTTGATCACTGGAAGCTGGATCCAGGACCCTGTGCCAGGGTGGGAATCAACGGCGAGACCCCAGCCAAGCTGCAGAGGCTAATAGCTGGAATGCTGATGGTGTCCAGACGATAGCTAGGAAGCTTGTTTGGCGGAAGTACCAAGTCAGGGTACCAAAGGACATGCAACGACTACCTGGTGGTTAATTGGAAAGTTTACTCTAAAATAGTCTGATTGAACAAGAAATGTCTACTGATTTCATCTCAGCCATTCTACAATTCACAATTTATCAACTTGTCTACTTTCTTCATATGTATCTAGACGTGTTTGGTCTGTTTTTAGAGATTAGCAAGAGCTACAGATTTGGCAACAAATCTGAATGTTTAGCACATCTGAAGCAGTTCATCAGTCAATTTAAATTACAGAAGGATGCATGAACTATTCTTCACAAAGGAACTCCAAGAATGTATATGAAAATAAATCAATGCTGATAGGTAACTAGGTGGGAAGGTTGGTAGGTGAGAGATTTTTGTGGATTAGTGTCTGTCCAATCCCTGCATTTACAATAAAAGAGATATTTAATTTCTCGATGCCAAACAACTGTACAAAAAGTGTGCAGCTGAGATTGTTATAGAGACGGCAAAGAATTATACAAAATCTAGATTTTGACGGTTTTGTGCAGCTTTACAGAGGTTAACATTTATACATTAGTGCAAAGTTAGGGAACATGCCTGTTTTTAATTTTATTGTTCCGAGAAATCTGAAAGTGAACTGGAATTAAGCTAATGTTCTAACACCATAATAGTCGCACAGTTATGTAATAATATAAGCTCAAGTTCATCAAGTTCAGACGAAGTCCAAAGAGTTTACCCCACTATATTAAATTTATTAAATTGTCTAGTTAATATATCTTCCTAACTAAATTGGGTTTAAGGATATCGTAAAGGAATGAAGAAATGCGTTAAGTCTTATTGACTGGGGGAAGGAATTCTAGAAGACTGGGGCAACCGTAGCGAAGTCTTGTAGGTGACTCCACAGATGCAAATAAGCACTGTGCCAGACACCCCATAAGACAGAGATCAGTTGTTCATATCGTCCCCCATACATGTCCCTACCTGCACTTGTGTGGTAGCTTGACATGGCTCATTATCTTGTCAGAAAGGAAGATTATCATTTATCTTAGTAAATGATGTTCATCACT